GTCCGGAGGGGCACCCCGGCCCCCTCAGGCACCTCCAGCTGCGCAGGGCCACTTTGCCACCCCGGGGGCGAGTGTCCCCGCTCCGCCTGGCGTGAGGACCGAGGGCGCGACGCCGCCCCGGCTCCGTTCAGCTGGGTTGCTGACTATGCCTGCAGATGCCGAGGACCCTGGCGGTCTCGGCCTTCATCCCCGCTCCTCGCCCTCTCCCACCGAGGGGGAGGAACCTCCGTACTGCACCGGGTGGGAGAGGGCTGGGAGAAACCAGGGGTGCGGCCGCGTGCAATGCGGCGGTTTGCCTCCAATCGTGCCCGCGCGATGCTTCTCCGAGGCTTTCGGCGAGGGGAACATATGTCCCGCAGTCGCTATACATCACGCAGGTTGGGAGCGGCGCGCGGGACTGCAGCTGTGCGCGCAGGAATACTCAAACGTGAGCACAACCCACAAACATTTGGCAATCGTTCAGAAAAGGAGCTTAATCTGTTTTCATCTAAGCCCGTTTTTCTCTTGCCTGCAACATCCCCACGATGTTGTGTTTGATACTGGATCACGGCGTAGCGTGAAGATGTCAAAAAAAAAATGTATCCGGGTTGTCAGCAAAAAAAAAAGGCCTTTTCTGAGGTATTTTTCCCTGATCAGTGTTTTCAGAGGCTTTCGGATTACAGGCTTCAAGGCCATTTTCCTTTAATCTGAATTAACGTTTTGTTAGTAAAGCAGCACTCTGCCATACTCTAATCTCACCTGTTTCTGTAACAAAGGAAAAAGAAAATAGCGTTTTGTAAATATATTTCCTACTTATTAGGTCTGAAACAAATATTTAAGTGAAATTCACATGATTTTCTTTTGAAAGGCAAAACTTCAGGTTTGCAGTGGGAACGACGTTTGTTTTTTCCAGGAGGGGTAATATCATATCCGTATGGACGTTACTTTGTCATAGTACGTGCATATTTTCTCCCTACCCAGCTTTAATTCTTTGCCTAGTTATTCAAATTTTGGAGGCAGGATTCACTAGTCGGTGACTTATTTTACAAATTGCTAGAAAGAAGGATTGTGTGTAACAACGAGAAAAGCAAAAACATTGTAATTGGTAAAAAATACAGCTGGGTGGCTCAACGGGAAAATGGATTTTGCTCTGTGGCTTTTTTTTTCCCCTTCTGTGATTGTTTTTAGCTCAAACTAACATTCAACTGGCAAATTCAATATATTATTAGTTTTGTTTATTATAAAACGAATAGACTGCAAACAGCATGGGTCTGTGAGGCTCGAGTGGTTCGTACAGTGTGTGCTACAACGCAAGGATACGCCTGCAGGATTTATACAGATGAGCCTGAAGATTTGCAAGGTCTCGCGTCCTGCCTGCTGTCCTGCTTGCACCCGGAGATAACCCGCTTCCAGTATACAGGGCATACGTGCCCGTCAGACCCCTGGCTAAAGGCTGGAGAGGAGTTTGACAAATGTAACACTTGGCTTTTAAGCTCATCATTTCTTAGTGGTAAATATTAACTTTGATGCCTAATAATTCATTGCGTTTCTAAGATCCAATTTGGAGCAAATGCGAGCTCGGAAGGCTGTGTAATCGATGGCATTGTGGTTTGTAAACGTTTTATCTCTCTCTTTGTTGCAGGCCATTAGCGGTGTGACATGTAGGCTGAACAGTAATAAATGCCCATTGTTCCTTTACAAGCATCTCAGAATAACTACATATATATTTTTATCTTGGTTTTCCTCCCCGGAGTGCTCGGCGAGGTCCCCTTAATGCACAAACCCACCTCTTTTTTACCTTGTAAGAATGTCTCTGTCCCATAGCAGACAAAGGAGGGGGCTTTGCTCCGCTTTGGGTTATTTGTTTGTGGTTTTTTTTTTCTTCAAGAGAGTGAAGAAGTGAGTCTGTGACAGTCGCGGTGAAAATTTTTGAGATGTGTTTTTCCAAATAAATTCACCTTTGCTGTAGAAAACGCTGTTTATAACAGAGCCCTTGGATCGAATTTGTTGATAGTGAGGGTATGTGGCATTAATTAGGAGCGCGCTTTGCACACCAGGCTTCCGTGCACCTACTCCTGGGGTGGGAGCCTCCGCAGGGACCGCGAGCCCCAGGGGCGGCACGGGCCCGAGGGTCGCAGACCTCGTACCTGTCCTGGGCGGAGAGCCGCGGGTGCGTGATGCCGAACGTCATCCCGACGCCAGCAGCTACCTGTTAGGTCAAGAGGAACGAACAGTCACTAGAAAGTGCAACTAGTGGCAAAGAGCAGCGTTCAGTCGCTGGCTCAACAAAAGGCGTGCAGCCTTTAAGACGGGTGCATATGTTTCCTTCTAATGTAATAATACAAGTTTGGGATTTTTTTCCCGTAGAAACCTCTGCATCTTTTTATAGAGAAAAATGTTTGGATGAAAAAACAAAACCAGCATAGGGTATGTGTATGTTTTACGCTCCTAAAGTGAATCTTGTTTAATCTAAAATAGTTTGCAAACGCTGTCTTATATACGGGGGTTTTTTAAGTCAAATGAAATCTAGTAGGCTGGGTATAGGAATTTATACAGCCGATGGCTCTAAGTCTTTCAGACTACCCGACATATGGATAAACCATGCACAGATTTAGCAGGTCTGTCTTTATGTTAAAACGTATACGTGATAAAAATATATGACTGAAGAGAATTTCTGTGGTTAGCGGTGCTTCATTCTGAAATGCTCCAAGACATTCAATAAAATTACGTTTATTTTCGGAGGATATTCACAATGAATCGATAACCCTTTTTGTCAGAGGGTTTTTGCATGCATTTCTCTGCCGCTATGCAATAGACTTGCGACCATTTTTTGCCGGTGCAGGTGTTGTTTATTAAAAGGAGCGTAGTCATTGCAGGTGTATATTAGACATTAGCCGAACGTAAAGATATTAGCAAAAAGTGCCTTCTGACTGGCATTTTCGTATCTTTACATCTCTGAGAGGTCTGTAAAGGCAGATGCGAGGCTGCACACCAAGAAAGGGTTTCAGCCCCAATCGGTCAGAGCCCATTTGTCCATCCCTCGTCAGCGATTCTCATTTAGCCTCTCTGGGAAAAAGAGGAATATAGTTTTATAGAATCAAAAGTTATCTTTAAATGTTTTTAGAAGTATAGTTAAGGAGTAAGGATGTTTTAATTTCTGATTTTCCAGCTCATGGGTCATATTTGACCAACTGCTTTCAGCAGAAGACATGCCACTTTGTTGAGCTATTTAGGAATCAAAAAGACTGTCTTAATTTAAAACAAGGAGCCTTTGTTTTAGTTGGTGACTGCCTTGTGAAATTTTTCAGTTCTCAGCGGGTTAACCAGGGAACAGGGGCAGAGTCATAATTGGCCTATTTAGAGTATTTTGCATGTGAATAGTGTGTTAGTGAAGCATTACTAAGTCTGTTGTGAGTGACATGGTGATTAGAATTTAGATTAGGGAAAACACATTCTGTACTTTATCAAGTACAGTAATTAGTTCAGTCAGTAAAAGTTGATTACAAGTAACGATAAAGTTAGATTTTTGGTACTTAATTTTAAAATTTCTTTATTAAATGGTAAATTTGTTCTTAATATAAATGGTAGTATCTACACCTGTTTTATTGCGTATCAGAATAATTAAAAGAACAATGTGTTCAATGCAGAGTATAATCAGGGGATTTATATATTATGGGTAAGTTTCAACGTAGTTTATAGCAAATAGAACATTACTCAGGAAATCGTTCTTCTGTCATGGTCTCTTAAAGATTTATAATTTTTCTTATAGCACGGGTCCGATAATGTTTTCTGCTGTTGTATGGAAACCATAGTCCTTTCGTAGCTGAGAAAATGTTGCGTTTGCTAGGATGCATCTCGTTAGTTAATGGTACAGGCATAAAATGGATATATTGAAGGTCCTTTGCTGCTGCTGCTGCTATACAATAGCGTTAATTGTTTTTGGGTTTCTGAGGTGCCTTTTTTTCCTGATAGCACTGCAAAAAATATTAATAATGTGTAATTTTATTTTAACGTTTTAATCACATATTACGTACAGCCTGCTGTGCAGATTTTTATATTGCAAAATCTGATATATTTAATTCACAGATATGAGTTTTTTCCTTGCACGGGGATAGACAATGAAGCTGTTTCATGCACACTGAAGCAACCGCTCTGTCAACAGCAGGATTTTTTTTTAAGTTTTATTATTGTTAAATCCGTGCACTTAACTATCTTGTTTGCAGTGAAGAAACTAAATTACCTTCAAATACATTAACAGAGCTCCAAAAGTTTTTAAAACACCGATTGCATTTGAATAAGCAGGCAGTAAGTCTCCTTTAAATGTAAATAATCATATTTTAAATTAATTACTTTGTGTTTTCCTAGTAAAGGAAAAGATGCTCAACTGGAAATTTTTGTGATGTCGCCTTTAAAATTTTGGCAGGTTCTTGTTTCCGTGTTTCAGTCGCTTGTGAAGGTTTCTTTGCTGTGTTATTTTTAGGAATGAGAAATAGCTAATGATGAGGAAAGTCGGATTTAACATGCACACGCACACACGTATATATTTTTAATCTTTTAGCAAAGTCTCCTTGGAGGTGACATGGATATTGGCAACCCAGGAGCGCTCTCCCCCACTAAGCCTGGCTCCCAGTACTATCAGTATTCTAGCAATAACCCCCGGCGGAGGCCTCTCCACAGCACCTCTATGGGTGAGTGACTTTGTGTTCAACCTTTTTTTTCCATTTCAACAAATACTCGGAGTTTCGTCCTGTTTAGCACTACTTCGAAATAAATACAATAAGTGGCAGAGCCTACGCGTACGCCGCCAGGACTCTCGGAGGGGTTTAGTTAACGTTAGCTGATTGCTCCTCTCTGTCCTCTTTGTTGAGCGTGCAAGGAGCCTTAAAAAATCGCTTCTTCAAAGCAAATCCGTGTAAGGCGAAAACAAAGGCCCTAACGCTCAAGATCAAAATATGAACAATTTTCCAGCATTTGACTGTCAGGCTTAAGAGCGGTGGCATCCACTCGGTGTTACCAAAACTGCTGCAAGCCTGGCATGAGACGGCGGGGCAGGGCGATTAGCAGCTGGGTCTGTAGAAAATCTTGGTGCAAAAAAAAAAAAATAAGCCTGTCTTATGAAGACACCGTTTTGTCTTTTTTCAGAAGTACAAACAAAGAAAGTTCGAAAAGTTCCTCCAGGTTTGCCATCTTCAGTAAGTACCGCTCGTCTGCTCGCTTGCTTGTGATCGCGGTGGCTTTGTTCGGTTGCAGGCAGATAGAAGCGAGCCTGCTCCCGGGCTCGCAGAGCGCTTGGCGCTAAAGGCTGAGGACAAGGTAAGGAGAGTTAAAAGATCTCGTCGCTTGTCCCGACGTGGAAGTGATTAATTGCACGGTGGGGACGAGCGTGTGCTGCTCATGTGGATTTTCAGCGGCGGACGCTAAAGAGGTGCCGCGGGCGCGGGCGGCGTGTACCTGCGCGGGGCGAGCATCCCTTCCACGTGCCGGTTAGCTTCTTTGTCGGGCTGATGATGATTTATGGGCTCGCATGTTCAGAGAGATGTGCGGAGAGGATTTATGAGACGTTTCCATGGGTCTCAGCCCGGGTTGCGGGGCAAACATCTCCATTTTCCCGTGAGGTCTCTGAGCTATGGTACCTGCAGCAGGAGCTGGCTGGGGGTGAGCCCAGGTGCCAACCGCTGGGATCCAGCTGCTGCCAGAGGCATTGTGGGTTGCTCGAGCAATAACGACAGAGCTGGTAATTACCCAGGGTTTCCCCCAATATTTTAAAGGCTATTCCTGATACCTCGTCCTAAGGAGGGTTACAGATGCCATCCGGCATCACGTTTTTCAGTGCTTATGGTGAAATCTTTGCATCGTGCAGTCAGAAGTTGGTGTTTCTCTTTGGTTCGGTGAAGTTCTTTGTTTCGTGATCCAAATAATTATTCTGTTAGTTTTCATTTTTCCATCATTGTGTAAAATCTCTGTGAGTTTTTTCCTGAAAAAGCTGTACCAAGGTGCATTACGTCTTTTGAGAGTGCTTACTTTTAAATCCATTAAAATATATATATAAAATAGCGGTTTTAAAAGAAATCATACGACATTTCAGTAAATACAGCATAAAGAGTAGTATGGCTCAAGAGTGCGTTTTATTCTAGTATTTTTATTCTAATTTTTTCTCCACCATTACTTTAAAAATACATAATACATATTTTCGTATCAATATCTGCAAAGAGAAAACAAACCACTCAAGAGGGGAGAGCTTCCTTTCATACCTGATAACTCTATTTGTTTTATCTCTAGATCTGGTTATTAGGAGGAGCTGAGTGGCAATCAATCTTGCGGAATATATAACGAATTGGCATGTTACTCTCAGATGGGTTTTGTGTTTTTACCATAAATCCATGTAAATTTGCAGTTTGCAAACTAGCATACTTTTAAAGCCTCAGGTATTGTAGTGACTGTGCTGAACAGTGGTTTTGTTACTGGTCACTTTATAAATAATAAAATTTTAACCTGAAAGAGAAAAACACATATGAACATCCTAATTTAATTGCATGGATTATTGTAATCTTTATAATGTTAAACAAGCACAAACATACATCTTTTTTGTAAGATGTTGAAATATGGAAATTCTCAAATGCAAGTTTCCAGTAAAGTAATAATACTATTTTTTTTTAATTAAAAATAAGTTTCCACACATGTATTTTAAATTTATTTCACTATGTGTTTTTTGGTTTTGGTTTTTATTGGATGCCTTTACAGCAATAGCTAATATCCTCCCCAAAGGTTTTTATGAGTACTATTATGCTTGAAGTTAGAGGTGGATTTAATTTAGGTGAAACTTTAGCTTTTAATAGTTTCTCTGACAACTTCACATGATAAATCCCTCCCAGCCCTTTACAGTTGGAGGCAAGGCTGTGCGTAGCGGGGGTAATACTGAGCGGAGCCGCGCGTGCTGTGGCACCGCAGAGCCACCTCCGTGCCGCAGAGCCGCCGGCGCGCTGCCAGGCACCACGCTGGAGGATGCAGCGCCCTGTTCTGCATGCGCCTGGCACCAGCCGGCAGCGA